CAGTCGTTTCCGACCACGCCCACCCTGCTGGGACTGTTGCTTTAAGTGATTCCGCGATAAGAAACGTTTAAAGGCACATCCCACGATTGCAGGCGTAGGTTATTCCATTTGAAAATTAAAGTGGAATCAGCCACTAATCGATTAGAAATAAAAGATAAAAACAAGTGAGCTAAAAAGAAAGCCAAGAACACCTAGGTGGATCTTTCATTTACTAGGGAAGTTAACCGGCCACTAGCAACGAGCTGTATACCATTGCACTCGCCTCGAGACGCTGAGCTCAAACTGCCTTCACTGTCTGCTAAACGATTCTTTGAACGGAGTTATAAAGCAAGAAAGCGCAGCGGTAGTGCCCCGGTCTCGCAGGCAAGAGGTGGTGGGAACGGTTTTTCGAGGAGCCTGCTTTTTTTGTTTTTCAATGTCAATGTGGCAGAAAAGCTTCTAAATTCGTTAATTTATCAACACTTGCCATTAGTTGCCTGTATGAAGAGTTTGCGAGCAGTTCCCACAACCTCTTGCCTGCGAGACAGGGCACTACCGCTGCGCTTCCTTGCTTTATAACTCCGTTCAAAAAATCGTTTAGCAGATAGGGAAGACAGTTTTGAGCTCAGCGTCTCGAGGCGAGTGCAAGGGTATAGAACTCATTACAAATGGTTTCACCGGCCTGATGACCTTTCCTGAATAGAACATGGGGACTAATAGGGGAGGAATCATCAGAGCCGCTTTGTCAACCTTGTTCATTGACACTTTCCTTTGACACCGTAAAGAGGAAAGCGGCCAGTGCAAAAGAAGAAAACACAATCCGTTAATATTTTACCTACGATGGGGGCCACCAGCGCAGGGGCCAGGTGTGGAACGCCGCCAGTGTTCTCGTTGATAGAAATTAGGGTGATAGGGTATCGGTGTAAAGAAGCCAAATGTGCTAAGGCTAGCAAGCGTCGATGCCTTTTCCCTTTGTGTCCGTTCGAGGGACGCGTCATATTGAGTAAGCTGACCGCAGAGAGACTGAGGATCACCATCACTAAAGAATTTTTAAGGCTTACCGCAGGATCAGATTGGTGAGATAAGAGCACTCGGTAGTGAAAGTATAGAGTGCGAAGGACCGCCAGATCAGAAAAAGAAATGAAGAATAACGGTCGAAAACACGAACAAAATACAGACATATTTGCTATGCAGTATGGTGAAAATAAGGGTTAGAGAACGTGATGAGTAATGGGCACCAAGGATATATAGAAGTCCTGCAAAGAGCATGCAGATCGGCGACGACAAAGATGACTAAATACTACCTGCTATGGACAGATGGACCAGCGAAGCGGATAGACCAGCGTTTCAACCGATAACATCTCTTTCAGAGTGTCTTCTGCCATGACATCGCCTCGCATCGCATTCTCTTCACCAGTCCCAGCTCTTGATTCGAGCTGATTAGGTAATCGACAGCCCCTTGGTCTGAATTGTCCTCCACACCACCACCTCTCACGCTAAACCACCGTCTGCCGAGCTTCCGCCACAAAACCGCATTGAAATGCCCCTGATCATCGCAAAGAAAAAAAGAGAAGCTACCGAAAGAGGAATTTACCTCAATTGCCTTTGCGACCTCCAAACAAATGATAAAGACGTGGGCCACCTCATAACAGAGACTGTCAGAGACAACGAAAGCGAATTTCAGTCCACTGCGCGCAAGGAGAAGATTTCAGGAACCCAGATCTTTGGGACTTTTCGATGCCCAAAAGAAAAATTTTACAAAGCAAATATTAGGTTGGAAAGAAAGTCCTGCAACACTTCTTCAAGCGGTTTGTGATTCCTACCAGGATTCTGCTTCGCGTTTTGAGGGGACATGGCGATTCATCAATTAATGCTACTGAAAAGAGAAAAAAAAACAAAAAAGGACATCCTCATTATTCTCAGCTACAGTTGATTAGCGGAAAAAGAGAGGAGTTGCCAGATGGTGTAAACTAGGAGGAAGAGGGAACGAAAATACGTTCCCTTTCTTCTCAGCTTGTATTACCAGGTCGTGTAGTGCTTATCACATCGGTTTATACCACTGATAGAGTACATAGAAATTACGCAGGTTTGATCAGTCTGTGATAAGAGGAGTTGAACATTCGAGTGAACAATTTTATGCAGGCGGGGGAGGCGAGGGTGACAGAAAGCGAACATTATCCCCCCCCCGCCATTTAAGGGACTATTCCATGATATGGTCGGACGTTCGCGCCTCTGCACGCTCACCAATAGGTTCCCTACCGTCTGGCTCTAGTCGCAGAGAGAGCATTAGCATAGGAGAGGGTAACACCAATGAGAGCCGCATTAATGCGGAAATTAGCCATTTCTGAGGTATGTAGCAGCTGCGTTGTCCCTTTGGTTTCTCTGATTTCTTCTCAAACCTTGCTTCGCTGACCACCGTAACTTGCCTTTCAAATGGACTGGACTGAATGATTGAAGCCGAACGATCTCAACTTGCAAATATTGAACCCTTTCTAGGAATCTATTCCCGAGCACTTCATGACAGACTTCTACCCGGATAACGTCAGAAGATTTTCCTTATGGAACATGACCTGTGATTCAAACTTACGAGGTCTCAGGCGGTTGCGATCAAATAGAATTTGTCTAAAATCCTGAAGCAGGATTTCGCAGTGAATAGGCTAAAAAATTCGGTGAATCAACTAGTGAATCGATTGAACATGACACGCGGCAAAATCAGGCTGGAACCATTACGGTAGCTCAAATTGAGTCTGAAGTTTTCCGAGATGGCCTGGGCCTCATAGCTAATGAGCTTGCGTTTGTAAAGGTTGCTTGTATGAATTTCTATATAGACTCAATCATCATTAACAAGTATAATGCTCATCAGCAAAAAATCAATGTAATGTTTAATCAAACAGTAGTCTATATAATTAACACGAATCCTGAATGTGGCGTAATGAGAGGCACTTAATAATTATTAGGTTGAAAAGAACAAGCTTCCCTGCCACCCCAACACTTTTTCAAATTTTTGATTTTAATTTTATCTTTTTTGTTTACAACTCCTGACCGGTCTTATATCTACCATGAGTGTCCACCACTTGTCTCCAACGCTCAGAAAATTTCTTGATGCTCCTTCGCCAAAACCCAGCGGAGTGCGGGTCGAGAAAGGAGGCGACCTCACTTTCGAGTTGGAGTTGATCGTCTAATTATTTCGTCATCAAGATGATGATTTAAGGTCCAGGATAGGTGGCAGTCATTTATAGCTCGACCAGGGGAATACGCTAATAAGAGAGGTAAGAAATCTTGCCGCAGCTCCAGAATTTCTTACCGGGCTCATTTCGGATCATGGTGATTCGCAATGTCATGAAAAAATAAGTATTGCCGCGATACGAGAGCTCCTGACAACTTTTGAAATTCCGCAGCCTAGACCTCTACCTACACAATGGTGCCCATAACGAAGAATTTGTAGTGGAGCTTCCGTAAGAGCCCTACTGTAATGGAGTGTGCGGGACGCTGCTGGCTTCTTATAAAAATATCAAAAGATCGAAAGCGCTGGTAAAGGTGAAACACGCTGTAGCGGTGAACGACATGCCTATTGAAGCTATTGCAGATAGTGTTGGTCGTTGACACGAATCCATAGTTATGGAGACATTTGTACTAGACAGTGACTCGGAGTATGGATTTACTAGTGGTCGAGGTTTTTTGAATTTTCTTGGATAACTACTGACTGCAGCACTTATATCCACCTCGTGGATTGAAGCCTCGAGAATGCTCTACCATTTGTTAGTCATAAATGTTACCTATGAATTTTTCAGAAAAAAGAAAATTTTAGAAAGTGTTGCAGAACTTTCTTTCCAACCTAATATATACCAACAGTGAAACGGCAATTTTTTTTTTCGACGCTGCCTCCAACCTTGCGAATACGACGTCCCCCCCCTTTCGTCGGCCGAATACGACCCCCCTCGATTGGAACTTGTCCAACGGACAGTTGACCCTGGTTGACGGCGCTTCTTTTGCGCAACAACCTCGCAGAAAAGGCATGCATGCCGAAGTCACAACAAAAGAGGAACTGAAAACTGAGAGACTTGTCTTATGAACATACGTCACCTTCAAAAGAAGAACTCAGTCACGTGGTTGACGCTTGTTTGACGAAAACCTCTTAACGCCCGTCAATGAGGGCGTGAACTGATAAAGTTCTTCAATAAATTCCTTACATTGTTCTTTGGTAATCAGTCACCTACCAAAAAACGACGAAGTGGCTGACGCTCGCAACTCGGTGCTAGACCACAAAATGAACTCATTCAGTAGCTGCTAGCCCTTCTTAAGGCTCAGTGGTACCTAGATTAATCGGGTTTTTGTCGTCTAGGTAAACATCAAAGTTTAGAATGAGCGGAACAAACAGAAAGGGCAGGATTATCTCAGAATGGCGCCGAAAAACGAGGAAATTGTTTGCAAATGACGAAAGATTTCAGATCACAAAGGTCTCCAAACTGAAGGAGGATGCTTTGCAATAATGCAAGTTCAAACGGGTTCGTATCAACTTCGTATAATGTATGCTATACGAAGTTATTACGCAAACTTCCAAAATGCAAAAAGGATAAGATAAAGCATTTGCCGTTGATCAATCCCTTTTGGGATGCGGCACGCATTCTACTTCCATTTGTACATTCGCAGTGGCGTTTGAATGCGATGTGGCCTATACAATGACTTGCGGGGGCCAGCCGATGTACAAGTCAGTGTTTTTATCCTCCCAGACAAGTCTGGTACCAATTAACCGACCCCGGAGGGATGGAAGGCTTGGTTGGCCCGGGCGACTCACGACCCAGGATTTGATCCCCGGACCGCTCGCGTGGTAAGCGTGCCACTTGCCACTACACCACTTCCCCCCTAATGACTCGATGTATATCTTTTTTCCTGAGTTATGGAGTTCAAGATATTCGACAGTCTTCGATGGTTAAAAACAAGTTTGCTGAAAAAGGACACTGATTAATGCAGAGCACATTGTCGACTTTTGCTACGGCTTTAGAGATATAGGTCATGTTCAGGGAACAAGAAGACCAAATTATCGAAGATATCACCAACGACGGTACCCGCGCTAGGAGGCAAGCTCTTCGAGACCCAAAGTACCCTGGTATGAGATGGCATGAAGGTGTCAAATACTTCTTCGATTCAAGTGCCAGTCAGTTTTCTTATATGTTTTGGGTTGAGCATATGATAAAGAGCGAGCAAAACTAATCCTTTTTTAGGTCCACAAGTGAAAAGTGTCTTCAAGAAAGCGGCAGCCCAATGGATGGCTGACACTTGCATCGATTTCAAAGAAGACGAATCCGGTAAGGGGAAACATGTATGAATGGGAAAGAAGATGCGACAGATATTGATGGCTTTTAGCAGAGGATAGCATTCGTGTGTACATGGAGGACGGATGTTGGTCGTATGTCGGCAGACTCGGAGGCATACAGAACCTTTCACTTGGCAAAGGCTGTGAAACGGTGAGGGCTAAAAACCCTGACACTCAGTGACGTCTCCCACTAAATACGAAATCATCGGAACGAAAAGTGCATTCTTAAGACTAAGTTCCGCAAAAATTCGAACTTTGGAAGATTTCCTAATTTCTATATATCAAGCTGGTGATGTATCATAGATGACACGAGAAGAGAAGCGAATTTCTGCAATTAGTGCAACATTTCGAAAGAATAAGAAAAGGCGTTTGGGACACTTTCGATTGAACTGGGGCAGTGTGTTGATGCCTGCCATTTTCGCCGTTTCAGATTGGAACCGCTGCCCACGAACTTGGCCATGCTATTGGATTCTTCCATACACATGCAAGGCATGACCGAGACCAATTTATAACGGTCGACACAAATAATATCGAAGTAATAATCTTGCCTTTCGTGTTGCCAGTCCTATGAAGACTCTCAGAACGCCTGCAATTTTAGTCTGACTGGCTCGACCAGTTTGCGGTTCAGACGATCGAAAGGAATGACAATTATGGCCTGACCTATGACTATGGTAGTCTAATGCACTACGGAGCCACAAGGTAGAATAGGAAGAATTAGCAGTGAGGGAAAACAACATCATATCCATGAACAACAAGCCGACTATGGTACCAAAGGACATTCAGTACATGGAAACACTCGGCTCGCCGTTCATTGGCTTCTACGATCTGCTTATGATCAACAAACATTATAAGTGCACAGGTGGGTCGTTCGGATTCCATGTAGCCGAGCGGCTCGTAAAAAAGGGCTTCTAGATATGTGCAAGGGACCGTCGATGTGTAAGAATTATGGATTCCCTCATCCACGTGACTGCAAGAAATGCATCTGTCCTAGCGGATATGGTGGCCCGCTGTGTGACAGAAGAGTGGGTCATTCTGTTACGTAGATTATAATTTTCAATATTAAGATGTGAAGTGATGTCAAAGTTGTATTCACACTCATGGTCTGTGAATCAAATCCTACCATACTGGATTTTTATAATGATTGTTTCTCTCCTTTCTTGTGTGAACAGTACCAGTGATTTTAGCCTCACAGTAATTATCGAGTCTAGTGTATGGAACCGTATTATTCAATATATTACAATTCGTTTAAAATCTTCAAAAGACTCGATTTAGCCAGATGGATGCGGAGCGGAGCTGGTTGCAACCAATAAATGGCAAACGCTGAAAGATGACCTCGGTGATCGACAAGCCGGCGTCACACCACGAGAGGATTTCATGAAATGTAACTATTGGATCAAGGTGCGCTATTCCTGCATAGGAAGCACAGATGCCATTGCTGAAAGTCGTTACTGCTCAGGCGCCTGCTGGTAAGAAAGTCCAAGTGAAGTTTGTTAGTTTTCCCAAAGGCATTGCCACCGATGGATGCCTTTATGCTGGAGTTGAAATCAAAACTCATCCCGATCAACGCCTCACTGGATACAGGTTCGTTCCCTAAAAACAGAAACCCAGGGATGCTTTCGAATGGATGAGGTTAATCGTGAATGTCTTCCAGGCTTTGCTCAGAAGATGACAGGAACACGACTCTTACTTCAACGTCCAACATTGTCCCAGTCATAACCTACAACCGAATCTATGCCACCGTCACCACACTGGAATACCGATATATTTAGTGACACTTGACTGGATTCGCATAGTCATCTGTAGCGTACTTGCAATAAAAATTTCTCACAACTTTCCGGTAAGCTCTATGTACAATTGGATTACTTAACAGCTCCTGTTGGTTGCATTCTGGCTGCCTTCCATTTTTTAATATCTCACGCAATGGGAAAGTCTGTTGTCAATGTTGTGATCCTTTCCTGCATTGTGAAACAAGTAGCTCGTCAAGTCAGCTTACGTTGACACCATCACGAGCAAGTTCGCATGGGAAAGGAGATTCTTCATAAACTCAAGACTCTCCATGGTCGATTCGCTTTCCCATTTTA